AAACTTTATTTATGGGCACTAACATTTGAATTTCATATAATACTCTTGTGCCACAAAATATGATTCTCCTTTTGATTTTTTAAAGCCACTTAAACTGTAAAAAGCGTTTTATTTTTTTTAGCTCACAGTTACACCAAAACATGTGGCCAACTGGATTTGACTTGTGATTTTCCTTTGCAGACCCTTGGCTTACCAGCGGCTCCTGCCAGAGGCATTTGCATATTAGGTGGGGATCATCCTGTGGAACAAAATGTTGGTACCCTAATGGTGGGATCTTGGACACCCGGCAGGACAGTAAAGGAGAGAACTGGGGCCGAAACCAGTTTGGCTCAGTGGATAAAGCATCAGCCTGTGGACTGAATGGTCCCGGGTTCGATTCCGGTCAAGGGCATGTACCTGGGTTGTGGGCACATCTCCAGTGGGAGGTGTGCAAGAGGCAGCTGATTGATGATTCTCTCTCATCAATGTTTCTAACTCTATCCCTCTCCTTTCCTCTCTATAAAAAAATTATATATATATATATATATATATATATATATATATATATATATATATAATTTTTTTTTTAAAGGAGAGAACGGGGGGGGGGGGGTTCTTTCCTCCTATCCAAGTTCCCATGCATCAGCCTGCAGAAGGGTAACATTGTCATGAAACCTGATGGACACAGCTGCACCTCTGCTCCCTGCTCGATCGTTCCTCTCAGCAAAGCTGGGCCCCTTCCCGGGCTTATCACCCTATGATTCAAAATCAATGCCTTTCCCTAGTAAAACCCCAGCCAGCTCTTCAGTGCACTTGATCAATAATTGGTCTGACTTCTGGAAAGGGCAGGGTGCAGCCGTCTGACCCCGAGGGCCTGGGTTTTTTCTCCTTGGCAGAGATGTGGACAGGTGGACAGCTGGAGAGGGGACTGGGAAATACCCTTGACAAGGCTTAGCAGGGGTCTACCTCAGACATGTCTGACTGCTGACCTGTCTCCTTGTCTACGGAGTCTCATGAAATTAGCCCGAAAATCCAGCCTCCTTTGCAGAGCAGCACTTTGAATTGGTCTTGGAATAAATACAGCACTTTAGAAGCGCTCCCATTAAAAGTGCACTCAGGAGCAATCATCCTTTTCAGCTGGCCTCCCTGCCGAACTTCTGCATCCCAGCAACCACCTGTGTGGTTGGCCACAGCATCCTTCTTCTGCAAGAGGCCCCCACCGTGCTTAGGCATGAAAGCTCTGGGCTCCTTACTGCCCTTGGGGTAACACAGGAGCACCCCCCCCCTCCATGATGTGGTCCCTATTGGCCTCTCCATTTTCCCTCCATACCTGAGCCATATGATGGAATACCCGCCTTGCTGACATCTGCTCCCTTGTGTGGAACACCCTTCCTCTTTGCACTGAAACTATCAGCTTCCAGATTTGGTCCAGGTGCACCCCCTGGAGGCAGAGAGGCTCTCCTTTGTGTGCCCACAGCTCCCTCCACCGCGCTGATGCCCTTAGCATTGCCCTGGTAGGTCAGTGTGCCTCTATCCCGTCTTCAGCACACAGTGGGCCTTCACTAAAGGGTTAATAAATTCACTATGGAAATATTTCCCATGTGTGATGCGTGTCAGCTTCAGTGACCTCCCAATGCAGACGAGGAAGGGAAAATTCATCTCAACCAGAGCTTTCCTGCTGCTGTCCTTCCAATACAAAAGTGTTCACTGCCCTAAACATTTCCTGTGTGGCCTTCTTACTCAAAGTGACGAACCAGCAACATCCAGACCTACCCCAGGCTGAGCAGCTCAGAGTCTGCATCACACAGGTGCTCAGATGCACATTTAGGTTTAAGAAGCTCTCTTCTAAACGATACCCGCCTCCTTCCTAAAGGCGGGGTTTCTTGCTTCCTCCTAAACAGACCGACATAAAGACATCTCTACTTTGTCCTTCGTGTCTTCATGGAATGGAACAAACATGAGACCATCTGACACATGAGGAGAATCACTCACACCCAAGAACAGGGAAGAAATGGTTCAGTTGTGTGACTGTATCTCCTTTTCTTTCTACTTGAAATGAGACATCTTCCTGTGAAGGTGGCAAGAACAGGAGCTGGCCTGTGGGAGAGTCCCTGCGAGCTGATGGTATTGGGTGACCTGGTGCTGGGCCAGGTGTAATTATTGTCCTGGGATCATGTTCAGGCATGAGGCAGGCAGGCAGAAATGAGGTTCTGCAGGAGTTTGAGTCTGGAGAGCTGATACTTTTATTTATTTTAAATATGTATATTGATTGCAGAGAGGAAGAAGGATGAAGAGATGTAAACATCAATGATGAGAGAGAATCATTGATCGGCTTCCTCCTACATGCCCCACACAGGACTGGGGATTGAGTCTGCAACTGAGATACATGCCCTTGATGAGAATCGAACCTGGGACCCTTCAGTCTGTGGGCTGATGCTCTAACTACTGAGCACCCGTCTAGTGCAGACAGTTATGTTTTTTTTACAATTTGTCCATTCAACGCTTGCCAATCACCTGAATTATGCCTGGCCCTGTGCTGGGCGCTGGAGACACTACAATGAATGGGCACAGTCTTTACTTCAGGAGATCACTGTCTAGAGCAGTGGTCGGCAAACTGTGGCTCGCGAGCCACTTGCGGTTCGCAGGCCACGGTTTGCCACTCTGTTGACTAATGAGTTTGCTGACCACTGTGTAAGGCATTATCCTTACCCAGAAGTTTTGACTTCAGTTAAAGACATTATTAAAATGTTTTTTTAAGTGTTTTCCCCTAAGGCAGTGGTTGGCAAACTCATTAGTCAACAGAGCGGCGAGCCACAGTTTGCCGACCACTGGTCTAGAGCCACAAAGAGCACTATGTACTACTGGGGAGGTGCCCCTCAGCCTTTGCACACAGAACTGAATGTTATTAAAATGTTTTTCTTTGCATACATTTAACACTGAAACAAGCACCAGCTCTGTTAGGAAATTACACTTAAATACAGTTACAGAAATGTAATTCCAAGTCACAGGTGTCTCATTTATCAAAGACAAAAGCCATTGGGACCATTCTCCAGACGAGGCTTGGCTTTGGTTTTCCTGCTTAAATCCCCCCTGTGAGCTTCTTTCATGCTTAGAAAGATTTTTATCTTCTTTCCAGGCTTTCTCTTCAAAAGCCAGACCTTCACCGGGGCCAGTCCTTATAAGTTAAAATAAAACCAGGGGAGTTCTTTACTCAGCTAGCTCATCCATTCATTTATTCTTCAATGCCTATCTCTTGAGCACCTAACATCGGGACCAGACATGTGCTAAGCCTGAGGAATTCACTGGTGAACAAGACAGACAGAATCTTGCCCTCAGGGTCTTTGGTGAATTACCCCCGACCAGAGCTCGGGCTTCCTGAGGAACACAGCTTGTCAGGCTAGCTTGTCCCTCTCTCTCTCTCTCTGTTTCTTGCTTCCTCCTAAACAGACCGACACAAAGACGTCTCTACTTTGTCCTTCATGTCTCATGTGTCTGACTGAGCTCATCGCCTCTTTGTTCAAAGGCAAGTTACCCTAACTGTCCAGAGGTGGGTTTATTGCTCCTCCCAGCTCCCCAGTTGAAAGATTAAGGGGAGGCAGGTTATGCAGCAGAGAGCAATAAGAGAGCTGCCTTCTGAGGGGAGTGACCCAGGTGTCCTTGTCTAGCCGATCTGGCCCTGATGATTTGGATTAGGAATAAATGCCTGACCACCATTCAGAGGCTGGCCAGTGACCTAGATGGTGGCCTGGCACCAGTCTCCACACAGGGATGTGAGTGACCAACACAGCGAACTACACCCTCTATGAGGGAATTTAAGAATGAAAAATACACCCCCCCCCCCCCCACACACACACAGAGAGAGAGAGAGAGAGAGAGAGAGAGAGAGAGAGAGAGAGAGAGAGAGAAAATATGAATAAATATGAATAAATATGAATAACAGGGGCCTGAAGCTTAAAGACACACCCAGGGAAGGCAATAAACAGCAGCCACAGAGTGGAGGACTCCACGAAACACCATGAGCCATGGATAGGCAGTAGCATCACCACATGAAGCAGAAACAGGAGCAGTCAAGCAGCCAAAACAGTGGATGGCCCAGAGGTAACTGCTCTGCCACCTGAACGATCATGTCACCGCTAGAGCAGTCCTTATTCCATGCACCACCATCCAGTTCTCCGTAAGACCTTCTATGCAGCTGGCCTTGCCTCCTGGTTTCCTCTTAGCGCGGTGACAAACCTCCGCCATCGGACGGGAACCCAGACCTCTGTTCTGCCCCTGCACCCTGAAAGATCTAAGCGAGCACAAAGTGGATCCTCCATCCGAGGCCTTGTTCCGCCATTCCCAGAGCTAATGTTTTGGAAACCCCTTTGCCTAGAGCACATGTGTCAAACACAAGGCCCGCGGGCCAAATCCGTCCCGCCAGGCCTTGCAATGTGGCCCGCACCGCGCTGTCATCACTGCACTCCGCTGCGTTTCCATCACAATGACAGTTTATGACTGTTCAGTAAACCATTTGGCCCGCGATTTAGGCTGGATTTTAGATTTTGGCCCCTTCTCTCATTGAGTTCGACACCCCTAGCCTAGAGGCTGGATGCGGCTCTCCAGCCTCTGCCTGGACGCCCTCGGTGCAAGCCCACCCTGCCTGAGTAAGAGGCAACATTGGAAACGCACCAGTCTGACGCAGCACTCTGTGATAAAGTGAGCAGGCTCGTTGGCCTTCTGCTGAGCACCGTGGGTAATTACTATTGATCTAAAGATACCATGGGATCTGAGAAAGAGTACCCTGGACCAACCGAGCATGTGACCTCAGACGAGTTCCCTCGGGCATTCTCACCTGTGAAATGGAGACACTATCACCCTAGAAGCTGTGAGAATAAACCAGCTACTCTATTCCCTGCAGCAGCGTGACTGCCCTTTCAGCATCCCGCTAGCCATGAGCAGCGCCGACGTGAGGATAGGCCCAGCAGCGTCCCTGCACCAGGCCATGCTGCCTCCCCTCCGGTGACTGACAAACGCGGGCCCACCTTGCCAGCCAGGCTTGCACACGGGCTTCACGTCCACCTGCACCAGGGTGTCCTGAGCAGCAGGCTTCTGGCCGCAGTCGTAGGCCGTCACCAGGATCTCATACTGGTGCTGCTTGTCGTAGCTCAGCTTCTCGGTGTTCCTGATGTTTCCTGAGGACACAGAGATAATCACCTTTGTTTCAGATCACGCTGAGCACGCTGCGGTTCTCCCACGTCCCCTCCCCACTCCTCCAACCTCCACCGGAATGGAAGGAGCCCCTTCCCCATCCCTTTGTGAGGTCAAGGGGACAAGAGGCCATGGCTTCCACATGCAGCCCGCCCGTTCCTCAGTGGCAGATTCCAGGACCAGCTGACTGGAGCCCCCCCCAGCTGCGGGGCAGGGCTGCTTCGAATTCCAAGCACGCGTCTGGGACCCGACTGGTTTGTGTTTGTAAGTAATGGGTTGCTGGAAAACTCTCTCTTAAAGAGCCCCATGCGGCTGCAGCCCGGATGTCAGACCCAGAGCTCATCTGCCATGAGATCACTGGGGGGGGGGGGGGGGGGGGAAGATGGAATTCAGAAATGTCCTGACACATATTTTTTAACATCTGGGCTCATTGCCAGGAATGCTCACTGCCTCTTCTCACATTATTTTGCTACCAAATAGGAAGTAAAATCAATAAGGAAACGTGTGACCTCTCTTGCAAAGCTGCACAGAATAACCGATCCCTTGCTCCGGTGGCAAAGACATTTTTCTTCTCCAAGAGAGACCAAACCGTTTTTTATGAGCCGTTTGTGTGTTTGTATCCCTGTGGGTGTGATATTATGGTTCAGGAATAAATATTTGATAAACAACAAGCTAAACTTTAATTGACGGTTTTTGCTAAAATGCCATTTTGGTTCCAAGAAACTAATGAGAGGCTGATGCACACTGAATAATTTTCAGTTTTTGATTCCAAGAGATGCAAGTCTTCCTTTGTTGAGAGTAATTTCATTCTTGCAGTTTTTTTTTTCCTTTTCTTTCTGATGGTGGAGCTGACAGCAAATTAGAACTCAAATGTTATCATCATCCTTTACCAGAAGTGAAATTAAGAAAGTGGAAATTAAAAGCAAAACAAACTAACAAAGCCACTAAAGAAGTGTGGAATGGCTGACGCCCGCACATTTTTAGATTTCATCCAAACTAAGGGAAAACTACCTAATGAGCTTTCTTCCATTCCAACTGATGATTGTTCATGGGAACTGAGATAACAGGGACCAAGGCAAGAAAGCCTGGGAAATTAGAAGTCACATAATGTGGTAACGATCGGACAAGTTGTTCCACCAATCACCCAGGCTTAACCAGTAGCAAGCGAGGAGCAGGTGCAATAAATGTGAATGCCTGTGAGGAGAAGGAGAAGGAGGAGGAGGAGGAGGAGGAGGGGAGGAGGAGGAGGGGGAGGAGGAGGAGAGGAGGAGGAGGAGGAGGAGGAGGAGGAGAGGAGGAGGAGGAGGAGGAGGAGGAGGAGGAGGAGGAGGAGGAGGAGGAGGAGGAGAAGGAGTGGAGGAGAGTGGTGGTGAGGAGGGATGAAGCTGCCCATGACATTGGACCAAGCATTCGGATCACTTGTTCTGCTATCTTCTCTGGATTGTTTCTAAAAATGCAACTGCAGCCTCGGATTTGAAGTAAAATTTACTTTGACAAAGCCAGTCAAAAAAATCCCTGAATAAAAATGGATTTGAGGTATTTTTGGCCTTGTGGCTGGTGTTCAGAATCCCTTTCATTTTCCCCCAAATATTTGTTTTCAGTCTCAGCCAGGGGCCCGCACAGGGCTGGGGCGGCTGGAATCGGGTTGGTAACACTCCCTCGGGGTTCCCTTAACAAACTCATTTGTGGTCCCAGTCTTCACAGGGGAGGGATTCTGCAGGTGCAGGCACCGTGCTATAACCACGAGAAGGAGGCTTCAGCGGCATCGGATTGAATTTTCAACAAAAAAAGTTTTAACTTTCTCTTTCTCTACAGTGAAATGGCTCTCTAAAGATACGCCTCTGAGGAGAGGAAGGCTTCGGGTTTACAATCCGTGTGACATTAAGCGGCCCGAGCACTATTGATTGTGCTGGAAAAATAAACACACGGGCCGGCAATCCGTGCCTCAATTTGTTGCAGCTCCTCTCCCGTAACTGTCTTAATGAAACTGTCTGCGAAACTAATTTACTTTCTCCGCCACCACCACCACCTTCACGCGTGTGAGGGTAAGATTCAGAGCACAGATGTGCAGCAGTGGGTCACCATGAAAGGCAATGTTGGGACCTGCTATCCCGTGGGGAGAGCAACATCTGGATAAGACACCCATTGAACACATTTCGATAGCTCAGAAGAAGCCGTCCAGTTTGCTTCTGTTACAATTCTATTTCCCCCCGCACATTGGAATGATTTCTCCAATCGTGCCTTCTCCGTTAGCTGAGTCCACGGTTAACCCAGGTAATGGCTGTCCCAGGCCTCGTCCCCCTGTCCACAGAAGCCTGGGCAGCCAACTCTCAAAGAACCGTCAGCCCCTACCTTGTGTGTAGGTGAAGGCAATTTTTTAAAACTCAGGCGGGGAGGAGGTGCAATGAGGCAAGCACACTCCCTCCCCTGGGACTGAACTTGGAACAACCCTTTTGGAAAGCTATACGGGCCAGTCACTTTGCAATTACTCATACCTTTGGGGCATGCAATTCCACATCTAAAAATTGGTTCCAGAAAAATTTCAGATGTTTATGGTGAAAGATCGTAAATACGGGCGAAAATATGTCCATCGCAGCATTATTTATTGCCTCGCAAAAAATAGAAGAGAAACCGTGTGTCTGGTTTCAGGGAAGGAGCTAAGGATAAGAGTCTGGGTGAGATGGAGAGCTGTCATTTACAGCACTGAAAGCGGTCATTACGAAGCACTTTTAAGGATGGCAAAAATCCATGTATTCGAATGTTAAGTAAAAAAAAAAGGGGGGGGGGAGGATAAAGAAAAGCAAGAAGTGTGGGCCATACTTTTGTTTAAAAAGTCAGAAAACTACTGGTAAAGTATCAATAGTGGTTGCCTTTTTAAAAAAAATGTTTAATAGCGGTTCTCTTTGATGGGGTTATACGTGACTTATTTTCTTCTTCGCACTTTTCTATGCTTTCCAAAATCCCCACAAGGACATATGCTATCTTCTACTCAGGTGGAAAAGAAGGGTTTTCATTTACTGCAAGAATAAACAGCTTCCAGGATGCACTTCACTCAGAAGCATGAGCCCCATTACTCTGTGGGTAGCCACCTGGCAGAGTACCCGGCTGAGATGGTGGTAAAGAAAGAATTGTGCCATCTTCCGCACCGCCCATAGGCACCCCTGAGAATCAGACAAGTCTGCCCAGGGATGAGTGGGTGTCCCTGAGTCCCTGCTGTACCCTCTGTGGTCAGTTTCAAACGTGGTTGACAGTTTGGCGGTGGCAACACTCTGGTGAATGCCTCCTTTGCTGTTTATCCACCCCTTACATGGGCAGAATATTTAATTCCCATTTTACTGATGAGGATCTGAGCAAGGATCACACACACACACACACACACACACACACACACACACACACACAGTAATGGATATAGGATTAAGATACAATTTTGAGTTTTTGAACTTAAAGACCATTGCCATGCATTCCTGTCAAATATCAGGAAGGAGAGTGATGATGTCACTGGTGGAAAGACCTGGGGGCCAACACTCAGGGGACCTACGCTCTAGTCCCAACTCTGCCACCTGCATGAGAGGTGCTGGAGGCAAGCTCCTGACGCTTCGGGGACTCAGCTTTTCCATCTCTTCAATGGAGATGAGCATCTAGGCCCTATGATCTCTGAGAGACCAGCCAAATGCCAGAAGATGGGGGCCTGGCAGCCATCTGAAATCCTTCTAGAACTTCCCAGGAGGTGGGTGATGTCACCAGCTCAGGGCTACCTGTTCATAATTTCAGCCTGGAAACCCACAGAGAGTGAGTGAGTAACCATCATGTCGCAACCCCCAGTAAATACCTAAGTCACATGGCACCATGAATGGAGTACTCCCTATATGCCACGTGCCCTGCAGGCATTATCTCTGGGCACTGCCTCTCCCTGAAGCCTCACAGCCCCACAGGGAGGCAGGCACTATTACTGCCCTGATTTCACGGGGGAGGGAGGCTGAGGATCTCTGTTGGAAGAGGTTGAGTCTTCAGTTAAGACAGGTCATTCTGAGTCCACATTGTATTCTGTCCTCCTCCCTGTGCCCTGCTCCCCTTCCTTCCCTCACAGACAAAGAGCCTGGCGGGTTGGGGTGGGGGGTCGGGGGTGGGAGCCATCTACTGAAGCCTTGCAGCCTCAGTGAGTGGGCCCTAGACTCAGTAGTACTTTTTCTGATATGCATGCAGAGAACTTCTTCAAGGACCCTGTAAGGTCGCTGGAGGAGTGATGGATAAGAGCCAAGCTCATTAGAATGGGAGCTGCTTCTGTGCCTGCCGGTGGGTCCCACCTTCATTACTTGGAGAAGTGTTTTTGTAAACCTCACTGTCAGGGGCCCACAATCTCTGGGAGTGCCCACTCTCCACTTCATCTTGCGTTGTAAACCAATGTTGGAGGCAGAGGCCTGGCACAGAACCATTACTCACTTTTAATGAGACAGCGAGGGAAATAAATTGGCATATGTTAGTGAAATGGCTCATCAAGGTGAGTAATTATCTCCATGACTGGGGCAGTTTACCCTCTGATGAAAGAATTTGCATCTCATCTCTCATTGGCTTGTGGCTCTCCGGGACTGAGGCAGGGGGTCAGGGGCAGCTTGACCACTCATCACAGACACCTCCTTCTCTGGTTCTGCTCTTCAGGAGGGACTTGTCACTCCCCAGATGCTAGTGTTTGCACACATAGACCCAATAGCTGATCATGGGGGAACAGAAAAATACAAGAGTTGTTCATATTTTATGAAGTGGTGTGTGTGTGTGTGTGTGTGTGTGTGTGTGTGTGTGTGTGTTGTGAGATACGTGTCTGTATGGTAGGGATGGGTCACTCATCTGTAGGAAAAGCTATCAGAGAGCAGTTCTGACATGCTCTACTAGTTGAAATGACCTATTTCTTAGTCCTAAACCAAACGTTAATTGAAGTGTAGCATTTTCTATCTTATGTTTTTATGCATTGATTTTGTGTCCTACACAATTAGCATCTGGTAATGTCCAGGTGTGTAAATGTTATTACCATGTATTTTAGCATTTTATAAAGAAACTGCATTCTGTTAGGAATACTGATTTCCTCTTACAGGACACGTCACAGACGCCTGGAGGTCAGGGAGGAGGGTGTCTCCTTGGCTTCCTTCCTTCTGGAATCTGCTGCAGTTCTCGGGATGCGGAAGACACTATCACAGGGTGGGTTTCTCCCTGGTCTCAGCATCGTGGAGCATTGGAATCACTGAAGACTTGCAAGCAGGTGACGGATGGTATTTCCCTCTAGGTCTTGGCTGCCAGGAAGTTCAGAGCTAATTTGTTGCCCAGCAACCTTGATGCCACCTGAATTCGAATTTTTTATTTTGAATTTCCCCCTACTCGATGGTAAGCTCCATGTGGACAGGCCCATGTCTGTTTTAGGTTCTACTCTATCTCCATTCCCAGTTCCAGCACTGTGCTTAGCACTGGATAAATATAATTCTCTACAGAGTGGACAAACTTCAGGTTTTGCTGATTTTGAGTCTTTGTGCAGTACTTAAGTCCTATTTGAAACAAAGGGGGGTAATATACATGTACCCACCCACTCACGCTAATAATAAAATAATATACTTGACAAATAATTTTCATTTGATCGATATCAAGTTATTGAAAATTGCAGTTAAAAGAAGCTGCGCTGATTGGGCCTCTGGCTGTCATGTTTACACCACAATGAGTTTTTAATTAATGGTGATGGAGAAATGTCCACCAGGCTTTATTAGGGCTGTTTTTCCTTCAGGAAGTTCAGTTTGGGATTGGGCTGTTGTGGGAGGGTTCTTCCATCCTTCATTCTCAGTAGGGTAGAAACTCTCAAAAGACTTTGACGAGACCTTTAAAGGTTCCTGAATGGATCTACAGCTCAGAAGGTGTTTCAGAAATCTCCACCTGCCCTCTGTTTAGGAGTAGGAAACAGAAGGCCGTGTGAGGTGATGTTACAACTGGTTACTATGTAAGAAAGGGATGGCAGAGTTGAGGGCATGACTCACACCTAGATGACAACTGAAAATTCCACCAGAAAACCGAGCTGTGTGCAGATGAGCGGCTTTGTGAGCCCTATAGGCTGTGCTCTCTGAGTAGGTACCTGGCTGAGCTGCTAGTCATGCCAGGACATCTCTCCAGAGCAGGACGGAGTTTTGGGTTATAGAGCCTAGATCAGGGATGGCAGGGAGGCATCGCCTGCTGAGTACATTCGGGCTCCCACTTGGCCTTCACAATGGGGGAGGGGGGTGATTCCCTGTCCCCCCTTGGGGTCCTCTCAGGACACTCACCATTTCTGTCAATGGCAAAAGGGACGTCGGTGGTGACAATCTCATAGTTGCAGATCTGGCTGTACTGGGGGGAGCAGTCCTCATCGACGGCCTCCACCTGCAGGATGCTGTCGTAGATCTTGCCCTCAGTCACCACAGCCTTGTAGGCGGGCTCTTTGAAGGCGGGAGCAAACTCATTGACGTCCTTCACCTGGATATGGACCACGGCCCTGGAGCCACACACAGAAAAGAAGAGACGGTGGTAAAGAAAGAATTATACCATCTTCCCCACTGCCCATGGGCACCGACTCAGGCCCCAACACCAAGAAAATGGAGAAAACCACCAGCCAGTCAGACAGTTGTTGCCTGGGTGTGCTGTCTGCCATCTCACTGGAGACCCTTCTACCGGCCCTCGCCCCGATCCCCTGAAATAAACCCACCCCAGAGTGACTCCTCCCCATTCGTTGACCTTCCTTGTCACCCTTGACAATAGCATTCCTCTGGACTGTCTCTCCTCTCCCTTATCAATCTGTCACCTGTCCACTCACCCCACCATTGAGTAAGAATTTAAGTACTCTTACTCTGTGTCAGTCTCTGAGTGGAAGTCCATAAGGGAGAGAGTTACAAGCCAACGTGAAGAGTGTCAGGACAGAAAGCAGCACGTGGCATGGCAGAACCCAGGGAAAGGTCCCAACCTCCCAACAAGTCTGCAGGGCTGGGCTGGCTCAGGGAAAGCTTCCCAAAGGAAGTGACACTGCACTCAGTGCTGATGGTGGAACAGAGCTGTCTCCCTGGGAAGCAGAGGGTAGAGAGTTTTAAGTGTAGAAAGCGGCCGGTACCGGTGCCTGCAGTGGCCTAGGAGCTGGCCAGCAGCTGTGCAGGCTGGAGCACCATGGTACGGCCACTGGGTACCCATGTCTGTAGAGTAGCGTGTGACAGAGGTGGTGGGCAAGAGTGGGACGGGGCCCAGGGGCTGGGTCAAGCGACTCACTTGTGTGACTTCTTCCAGGCCGTGTCCAGGGGCCCCGCGCCACAGTCGTAGGCCTGGATGATGAACGTGTACTCCTTCTGCAGCTCACAGTCGATGGGGCTCTTGGCCCGGAGCCGGCCCTCTCCGGATGTCTTGTTGAGCACCACGGCCTCAAAGGGCAGCTCCTGGCCGTGGATCTTGAACGCACAAATCTCGCCTGCAGAGGGATGAAAGAGGAGCAGTGAGCGGCGATCCTGAGAACTCCCAGACTGCAGATGGAGCTTCAGTTGCACCAGATCTGCAAAGCTAACGCCTCCAGGCCATTTCCTCCACCCAGAACAGTCAGACCACAAGAGGCCTCCAGAGACCCAGCCCAACGTGATCATTTCATGGATGGCAAAACCGAAGTGTTTCACGCATGGAAGTGTCACCCATCAAGTGTATCTGGGAGAAGAAGAGGGAAGAGTCACGTTTCCCACTTTTCTGAGCAGGTTTCCCTCTGCCCAGTTGGACACTAAAAATGTGCCCACATTGGCCAGTGTGTCTCAGTGGTTGAGCATTAACCCATGAACCAGGAGGTCATGGTTCAGTTCCTGGTCAGGGCACATGCCTGGGTTGTGGGCTCCATTGCTAGTGGGGGGCGTGCAGGAGATATCTGATGAATGGCTCTCTCATCATTGATGTTTCTATCTCCCTCTCTCTTCCTCTCTGATCAATACAAAAAAATAAAACAACTGTCTACAGTCAAAAGACAAATGACTGTAGAGGAAAGGCGGAAAGGCCCAAGTGTGCACAATCTTTGGTCCTGTGACCAACTCCTGCTACCTGACCGTGTGCGCTGTGAGCACAGATGAGCATCCCTGGCAGCTAGTTAGAAATGCAGGCGACCAGGTCCCACCCAGACCTCCCAAGTCTGAATCTGCGTCTCAACAGGGTCCCTGGTGGTTTGTGCGCTTGTCAACCACACTGTGCTGCTCTGTCCTTTGCTCCAGGCTTACACAAGCCACACTGCTGCAGCCACATCCCCCTGCCCCTGCATGTCTCTCCACCCACCACTTCCCTGTGGGGAGAGGAATCCACTCTGAGTTGCAATTTTATTTCAAAACAGTGGGGGTGAGTCTGTGCGATTTCTAGAATCCCCGTGGAGCCCGAGAAGCTAGCTTCTTAAAGGGTTGAACATGTTGTGAAATTAATGCATTTCTCCCCCTCAGCTGGGTTAATGTGTATTATAACTATTTCTCTGCATTAAAATGACAAAATACCTTCCTTGTCCCAATAGGTGGATATTTGTTTCTTGAAACCTGACTGCAAGTAAGCCCTGTGCTGTCTGCCTTGGGAGGTGCTGAAAATATGAAACACATCCCCTTCTGTCTGGAGGGAGTTGACAGGTTTGTTGGGGGACCATGTCTGGGTGTCCAGAAAGGCCATTCGGGAGTGCAAAGGGAGGTGTGAGTGTCACGTGGCCTGAGTAGCATGGAGTAAAATGTAGGCTTGGTCTGCAAAGTGACACTGTGGCAAGGAGGGATAACATGACTGCATGCCTGCTTTGTGCCAGGTTCTGAGCTGTGTACCTACCCCCATGGAGGTGACCTCATCCACTCTCCCTAACAAACCTGCAAGGTAGAGGTTTTCTATCGGTTTGTACAAATAATAAAAAAGAAAATGGATCAGAGGGGTCATTACTTGGTCAAGGTCACAGAACTAAAGTTGGTCTAAAACCAGGATTTGGCTCACTTCTAAGCTCATGTCCTATTTCACGGCACCCTCTCCAAGCAGCTCCATAACTTTTATTTTCAATCCTTACCCAAGGATATGTTTTTATTGATTTTAGAGAGAGAGAAAGGCAGAGGGGAGGAGAGAGAGAAACATTGATGTGAGAGAGAAACTTCAATTGGTTGCCCTCCAAAAGCTCCCGGACCAAATATCAAGCTCACAAACTGGGTCTGTGTCCTGCCTGGGAACTGAACTGGCAACTTGTTGGTGTACAGGATGACTTTCCCACCAACTGAGCCACTTGGTCAGGGCAGCCCCATAATCTCTGAGGGACCCCTGTGGGGAATGCTTCCCGTCCCACTCTATATCCCCATTCAAGCCGCACTCAGGGAGAAATCTCTCGTTTTACATGTAGGAAGCATGCCCTGATCTCTTACTAACTATATTTTTTGAGACGGCCAATCGATAACAAACTTACCTTTAGGCTTTTGATTTTTATTATTTCATTGATCCTCAATTTCATTATGAACATTCCATTTTCACTCCATCCCCTCCTGGCCATTTCTCAAATGTAGTTGTGGGAAAATGGACAGGCGAGACAGATGTGGGCCGGGCTCTAACAGGAGGCAGTGCTCCCGGGATCACCAGCATCTCCTCCCTGCCTTTCCCACAGAGCTCCTCGGCAGCCCCCGGGGAGGGAGGACCGGCTTCCTCCCATCCTCAAACTATTTCTGCTCAGAACTATCTGGGGCTTAACTGGATGAAGTTCTAAAGTGCCTGCCTTGTGATTCTATCCAAAGATCAATGCCAATAGGGGAGTATTACTACCGAAAATGTCCAGACCGGTTCTCGAACATTATCTGAAGTGCCCAACCACTGTCACGACTATAAGGCTAATCAGACCATTTCTCTTTGAAGAGACCAGTTAAACCAAAAATAAAAGAGGGCAATTTTCTGTTGGGAACACTTGATTGCAATTAAAGTAGTTCTCGAGACTCAGAAATCCTTCACCAGAGGAAAGGAGAGGAAGGAGGAAAAGGAGAAAGAGGAGGGGGGAGAGGAGGCACAGGGGAGGGTGAGATGAAGTAAACCTCGGGGCGACATATTTTCATCTCACTCAATTCAGCTCAGTTCCATTCGATACGCCCTGCGGTGCCTGAGAGCGAATTGTATCAGAGAAAATGACTGGAACACCTGAAGACGTAAGGACACTCCTAAGCACTCATCACTTAGTGGAAGGGACAGTCAACCAGGGCAACACAATGCTCACCTAGTTTTCACCGGCTCAGATGGCGACAGAAATTGGTCCACCTTGGGACAAAACCTGGAATTCATGCCACCCTCTTTTTTATCTCACCTCTTCATCTGACACTTACCGTATTTTTCGGACCATAAGACACACTTTTTTCCCCCCAGAAGTGGGGGGAAAAAGTCCCTGCGTCTTATGGTCCAAATATAGCCTACACATATACTTTAAAAAAAAAGTTTTTTTACTTGCCCGGCTCTGTGTGGTCTCTGTGTGCTTGCCCGGCTCTAAAATGGTTCTAAATGCTGCTGTTTACTTTACAGGGTTGATTACATGTGTTTATGACTGTGATGTTGGGTTTTAATGCACATAAAATATTTTAGGACACTATTTGTTTCAGAATCTTTTTTTCTTCATTTCCCTTCTCTAAAAACTGGTGTGTCTTATGGTCCGGAGCGTCTTATGGTCCGAAAAATACGGTAAGTTCCTGTTGCAAAGACTTTCGTTCATTTACTCATCTGTTCATTCACCTTGTAAATGTTTATCAGGGACTATGTGCCCAGCAGTGATGAGGAAAACCAGCCCAGCCCTGGCCTACAAGCTGCTGGCAGTCCTGTAGGGGAGGGAAATGAGCCCCCAGAGAATCACATCCCTCAGTGAAGCGTGGTGACTGACAGGTGGTTGGTGCTAGGACAGTCCCGACCTGTCAGGCAGGCAGGCTAACCTAAGGATGTGACCTCAGGAGGTGACGCTGAGCTGAGACCACAGGGACAGACAGAGGAGCACAGCCTGGCCGTGAGGAAGGGAAGCGCGTGCCAGGCGGTGGGGCCAGCACACCATAGGGCCTCGGCAGGAAGGAACATATTGGGCCCTGAAGGGACATCAGGGCCAGTATGGCCGGCACAGAGGCAATGGGGAGGGGCCGGCTTCAGGGGGATGTGACCAGAGAGCCACGCAGGGCCCGGGCTCAAGCGGGTCCTGAGCTTGGTTTACATTTCTGCTGTCACATCTAGAAAATCATAATTTTTATCTTTGAACTTTTGTTTTGTAAATGAAGTTGGATGGACGATGGAGCATGTTGTGCGCAGAGATGGGTGCAATGTGCCCGTTCGCTGTCCTTGCTGCCCTATTCAGGTAGAGCATTCAGGCTGCCGGCCCCCCCCCCCCCCCCCACCCCCACCCCCCGAGCACAGCATCCGGGTGGACCAAATGCATGGGCGTTCAGCAGGACTCAGGGGTAACAAGGTAAAAGCCTGTGACACTGAGAACCAAGTACATGGAGAGCTGACAGCCCAGACAGGCTATCTCTTCCATTTGAACCAAAATTGTTTAGGCCACAGAAAGAAGGCAGGATAGTTTAAGAAACATGATCAACCAAAGAGCCCCATCCTGTCCTTTCTCACTCCTGTTACTTCTCGGTAGTAGCCAACAACTTATGCTGACAGTGATGACAGACAGGAGAAGGAAAGATAAGACACCCCGCAGTTCCTTTTCTGTTTGGGCTGTCTTTTGTACCTGTCAGCCAAAGGGAGTGCGTGTTGGAAGAGAGAGTGTACGTATCAGGAAGTGAAGTAAAAATAGTTGGGTTTGGTTTGCGTGGCATTTACACTGATCTGGTAAAGGACTAAATGCATATGCATATGTGCGCTACAGAACGCAATTCCTGTAATGTTTAGAGATTCTGCCCAGCACTTCACTGCTCTTGTACTTACATGGGACGCTGGCATTGCACAGTATAGAGATATCAGTGGTAAAATTCATGCTAATAGATTACAATTTTAATTTTTCTTTACTCAGAATAGCATCAAACAGCAAATGTACAGCACCACAAGTTGAGAGAGAGAGAGAGAGAGAGAGAGAGAGAGAGAGAGAGAGAGAGAGAGAGAGAGAGACAGACAGACTGTGGATGAAAAGCCCCAGGATGGAGCCCTGGGAAGAAAGAATATCTAATGCTGCAGTTCCCAGCGGCAGGGTGACACATAGGGCCGTCTTGATCTTCCGGGAGGCCTGTCACTAGAATTTGTTATTGTTAATAAAGCACTGCAGTGGGAGGATGATGCACTTAGAAAGGAAAAGATCAGACTTAATGGTTTCCATATGAAAAGATCACTTTTAAAATCTTCCTTTCTAACACACTTTCGTGGGTGGGAGAGCCGATGTGCTGGGAACTGCGTGTGGGAGTGCAACAACCAGATGGCCATGCCCTTGGGACCAGCCATGGGAAAACGAGGCCAGCAGCTGCCAGAGCTGAGTGCTAC